TATATATATATATATATATATATATATATATATATATATATATATATATATATATATATATATATATATATATATATATATATATATATATATATATATATATATTGTATACATTTAAACGAAATGGTCAATTATCAACAAATGTATGTAAATTTTGAATTTTGATTAGTGTACGTTCTACAATCGTTTGCCTGTGTTTAAACAATTTCAATATAATTTACATAGTTTATTGATTCAAACAGTGAAGGGTACCTTTAACCATATACTGCACGGAGATATAGTATATGTGCAACATCTAGTTTTTTGCTCCAAATTTAGGACAAATGTACGAAAATAACAACTGTACTTGCTGATCGAGGAGGTATTTGGACACATGAACCACATTGGGTGATGGGTGAGAATCAACCAAATCCCAAAGTTCCCAGAAGTGAACACCAATGCCGCCAAAGACGCTTCGAATCATACGGTTCAGCGCATAGTAAGTCCAGTTGCTGCTACGGACTGATTGTTTTCCATACCCAGGTGGATGTGCCATCTTAATGAAGATGAGTACATTGTCATGACATCGCCTCATTAATCTCTTTACCGCCTCCCTTGCATGGAAAATTCTTTCCAAGAAAGATCTATTCGACCACACTCGAAAATGAAAAGCGAAATTCAAAATTACAATGAGCTGTTTTGCGGTACATGCTTCTTGTGGAAGACTGTCCAAGTAGTCACTTTCCATAACCATATTGTTCACTAACCTTGCCCCGCCACCAAGGCGCGGGGCGATAAACTGGTGTTCTATATTGGAATAGCTTCTGAGTGCGCCAAACAATCTACGTTGAACTTGCTCCGATGTAGAATCTCCATATATTTTGAAAAGTTTATTCGACAAGCATTTGTTTGCTTCTATCTGTGACCATTGCTTACTTTGACAAACCATAGGAATGAATGTAACGTTATTTTCCCAATATCCATCAGTTATAGGAATTGGTAAATCAGGACCACATACAGGCAATGTTGGTGATGGTAGCTTGCAATCTAAATAAAAAAGTACACATAACAATAATAATTTCTAAAAAAACAACACATAAATGCTGTTCAAATTGCGTGTATGACATACTTGTACAAGTATCTACCATCGATAAATGAATGAGGGAGCCACATACTCATTAAACCATACACACCCGAATGAATGCAAAACTGTATCCATCAACATAACACCCATACTACTGACATATTAATTGTAGTTTGACGCATAAATTGTTTGGATAATTATTGTGGTGTACAAAAGTCATTTTAACTCAATTTTATGGCAAAAAATACTTTTGGTCATTTAAAACATGTTTTTGTTGTCATTTTTGTGTGCTTCTGCCTTATATTTGTTTATAGATTCTTACCTGTTATTTTTACTTTCATTGGACTTCCAGTAATCATGGTTTGATGATATTTCCTGGATGTAAACAGAATAATTTTTTTATAGCGTTTATTTTCGTTCAATACCGAAGAATAGCGTTTAGTGTTGTGAGTAGTATATGTGAATACAATTTGTTTGTGAATACATATCAACAAGGAAAATAATAAACTGCCAATAAAGAAGTGAACAGAGAACGCTCGTTATTGTAGTGCACTATACTAATATGTGATGTTAAGACTACAGAAATAAAATAATCATGCATGAAAGTAATCCGTATGTTATAAATAACTGCTTGTCTATTATGACAATTTTATAACAAAGTACTTATAAATATATATCCTACACATCTACACAACTAACATGGACTTGGTAACACAATAAAACCGTATATCATAACGAAAGCTTTATCTATGAGATCACGGTATTTGTCAACAGTTATGACATTTGTCGCATCCCATAGACAATTCTAATCATATACAACTAAACATAATAAAGAAAATGAGTAATACTAATGTAATCCCAAAATGAATGTAGATAAAATCGGATATTCGAAACACACAGTACTTATTTTAATCACTATATTATTAAGAACACTTAGTATAAAAACATTGATCTATATTGTACCCATTGTTTATTCTGAAGAACTGGTAACAAAAGAATACATATTCCATATTCTAAAAACTTGCAAAGAAAAGTGAGCTATATTACGACCAATGTCAAAACCTAGCATATCTCACATCTTATTAATCGTATATTATAAACAAAATAAACATAAATCTATGTATCATATCACTCATCCATTGGGAAATAATCATTAAGACAAGGTCTTACCCATCAAAAAGATACTGAACTCCTTCTATTTCTTCCAGTATAAGTTCATTCAACTCACTTACAATAGGTAATAAGATCATACATTTTGTCACATCCTAATTTGTTTGGCTTGTTGCAAGCAATTGTTGTTGTTATCCCCAGGGAATTGTGATTTGTATATGTACATTTATCTTTCCATAATCCGTTGTTCTCTAGTTGACAATTAACATATTCACGTGTTTCTCCATCAACGAATTGAGCACGAAAATGCAAAACTTTGCTTTCTTTGATAACATTTACGACAAAGTCAATTTCTTCTCGGAATAGTACGAGCGATACGTATATATAAGCATCCCCCGTCCATGCCGCATAAAAAAATACTGAATATGTGCCATTCCCATAATCCATCACTCTACCGGATGTATACTTCTGTAGTTCGTCATTGGACATGACAGCCGAAAAGAAATCACCCCCTCGACGTTTTGAATTGCCATGAATGTCATATGTTTCCATGACAACGTGTACAATGCTTCCTTTCTTGAGTGTCGTCTCTTTGCCATACAGTTTAAATCTGTTGATGAAACAGATCTATTGAGAGCAATTGTGCATTACCTACACATGTCTGTCTGTCTGTCTGTCTGTCTGTCTGTCTGTCTGTCTGTCTGTCTGTCTGTCTGTCTGTCTGTCTGTCTGTCTGTCTGTCTGTCTGTCTGTCTGTCTGTCGGTCGGTCTGTCTGTCTGTCTGTCTGTCTGTCTGTCTGTCTGTCTGTCTATACATAATATAATAGACAAAGTTGCCTAAAATCAATTCCAAAATTATTTAATAAACCAATAAATTTATATATGTAACCGAAATGCCTGAAATAATGTTATTATTGTAAATTGTGATCATACAAAAGTGAACAGAAATCGTTAATCACTAGACAGCTGTCAATATTTTCAATAATGACAACTTATAGCATTTGTTGGAAATCATCTTTGTTTAGAATTTTCTGATTAAATGGAAGTTCGAATCTAACAGGGCGTGATCTACGTTGCCTGTTCTGTCCGGCTTCGAATAAGCATGGACCAATAATTTTACGGTTTATTTGCTGTTTTTATTTATCCCTGGCAAATGCATTTGTTGGTTTTCGAGAAAAATCAAAATAATGTTATCCTGTATTGATCAAGGCATTTTTAAAATTAGGAATGTAACTCGCTCAATGTATGGCTTGTGGTCTCTGCATAAGATAATGGTTGTATCCAATAATAATGAAATGGTATTAAAATAGCGGACTATAGTGTTGATTTATCATGTCTACTATCGGGTTACGTGGAGCAAATAAAGATCCTAGACATGTTTATATGCCTGTGTTTTTTGCAATATCTTTGATTTTTCAAATACAAGCAGATAGACAGGTTTTCCTGTTTTTTTGTTGAAATTTAGTCGATCTTATTTGAAACGTGTCACAACAATATTTAAAGTGCCACAATTTAGATAGGATTGTCAAGTCTGACATTAGATGGAGCATTTGTATACATGGAAATGGTCACTGTAAAAGGCAAGATAGGTGGCCAAAAATAAGCACCCCATACTCCGCTCACCTCAGTATGAATTAAATGACTGTTTATAAGGCAACCTTTGATGATTTTCATGGTTATTATATATACTGATATGAAGATGGAATCGAACACTCGCCATTTCAGAACATTGCACATCAATTGAACTTGTAAACTCAATAGTGTCATAGAACCCAGCGTTTTTTTACCCGTCGTGTAGCGTGCGTTCTATATATCGTATTCATATTCCAGGGCTTAAATGCACTCCATTTACTCCAGAACATTTGCATAGATGGGAGACGCGCATGCCAAAATCGACAACCCATCTAGCATATTTCGACAGACTAGCCTATGACACTACACATGAAATGTTGTTCTTGCAATTACATTATCTATAGCACGATAACTAGTATTAGCAAGTAAAATCAAATCAAATTAGAAACCTATATGATGACCAGCATATTGAAAAGTGGCAAATTGGGTCTTAGAATACAATATTAATTTTATGTCAAGTTGTAACTTTGTACTCACTTTGTGTTATCAGCAGATGTTAATCCAAGAGAACCTACACCAACATCAAAATTAACAAGAGTTCTTTTTTGACGCGTGCCAGTACTGTGTGTAGAGTGGCTTTCAGCCCATTCCAATTCGACGACTTTACCCATCCAATCCAATCCATAACGATTGTACGAGTCATAAGAAATCGTATCTGTTATGGTGCGCTTGCTCATTTGTGATTTGGAGTGTGTAGTTTGTGACTCCTCATGCTGTTTTTCTAAGCTTAGTGCGGATGAAGAGAACTGTCTCATTGTATCTTGATTCGTTGTATCATATTGTGAATGTTGCGACTCATTCTTATTGTTCTTAGAAGGATGGTATGATTTGACGGTATCTGGTTTTGGTTGAATAATGTATGGTGCAGGACGTGTAGGTCTTCTATTTCTTTCCAGTTCCTTTGTTAATGTAAATCAAAGTTTAATTATAAAGATGACAAATTCTAATATAAATACAAAATGCAAACTAATGTTGCCTTCATACTGAATATTATACCATCTAGCATAGCAACGAACAGTGGGGTAATTAGGTTGTGTAATGAAGTGAAAATGTATTACCAATCTGGCACATATTATGTTGTAAACTTATCAAAAACGATTGAATCTTTTAATATTCATATAATTTGCTAATCTTCAGATTGTACATGCCCTATTACTAGAGTGTTTATGACATGACTGTACTGGAATGGAGAAGAGGCAAACAAGTATATACATAAGCGAAATAGAAAGACAGTAGCAAGAATGTAAGAACCCATAAATTCATTTACATTAGACATAACCCTATTGACAAGATGGAGTATCTGGTTTAGTATTTGAATGTCAAATATAATCGTATTGGCAAAACCTCATCACAACCATCACTGAAGATACATTTTAGCGCTGTGTCTCTAACAAATATTTATATTTCAACCAGCGCCTAAGTCCGGGTGTGAATGGTTAGCCAACAATTATCACAGTATTGTTGGAATGCAATTGTCTGAAACTAATATTCATTCGGCAAATAAATATAGCATAAAAGGTTAATCTCACAAAATGATTCTTCCCTTCCCAGAGCAGAAAAAACGTTACACATTGCTATACAATAAATAAGTCAAGATCACATAGCCACAGATGCAGAAAATTACAAAAAATCGTGGTGAAACGTACAATTTGGTTTAACATAATTGCAGGTTAATACACCATACGTTGCACACCTAATACAAATCACACTACGAGAAAGCAAATCAATAATGCAAAAACATGAAAACATATCGTTTTATTGGTTCGATGTGCTACGATTTTGACGTGATTTGACATTAAAACCCATGCACCTCATGACTATTGGCCGATGAATTACAAGAAAATTATTAACTTAGATCGAATACTCGTAAACCAGTTACTATATATTACATGTAAACCTAGCCAATACATGAGTGATGTACACTGGTCATTTTATTTATATCGTTGAAAGTACATCAAGTAAATCACTAAAAGGTTGAAAGCGAAATAAACAGTTGGTGGCATAATACTAAACTTCAGAGGTACAATTGGAATACTGAGAAGCTAGTAAATATATATGATTATGAATTGTAGAAGACATTTAGAGAATATTAAACTTTTGTAAATACTTTGACTATTTTGTTGGTAATTATGGTAAGTATTAAATCACTTGTGTTGCATACCTCACTGTCAGATGTTTTGTTTCTCTGAGGTAAGTGGTAATAAATATTCTGTATATTATTTATTGTTGATTGAACCACTAAAAAGAAACTATCACTAAAAAGAAATTAAGCAATCAGTAAAAGGCAAGGTTATGACAGTGATACAAGCGAATCTTGTATTATGAGAATAATAATACATTTGCACATTTGCTAATGGCAGGGTTCATACACTCCAATCATAATTATTTGTTTATTTAAAAAATACTAGTAATAACTATATTAATATAGCAATAAGCTATATGTGTTTATAAAAACAA